CTGTGGTTCAGCAAGCAAAAAAAAAAAAACAGGTGGAATTGAATTTCCAACACAAAGGGATATTCAAATTAAATGGAAAAAAGCAGCACCTCAGTCGAACCACTTCAGATGGAGCGACCAACATAGATCCACTATATAGGCTGAAATCTATAAACCACTGTTTTAATGAACTGAACCTTTTAAGTTTTAACATTTATTTTAAGTTTTATTTTCTTAAAACTTACATTACATCCCTTACATTTACCAACTACGAAATGCACTTTATTTTTCAAATGTTAACCTTATCATATAACTTTAATGTAACTGTTAATTCACCCATTTCAAAATCAAAGTGCTATTCTTGTCTACCTTACAGTTTCTGAACCAAAAACCGTAAACCTGAACCGAAATGTTCTGCCAAAATTGAGTGTCTTTGTTCTGTTGAACACAAAACAAGATATTTTGAAGAATGTTGGTAATCACACAGTTGACGGTAGCCATTGACTTCCATATTATTATTTTTTCTATTATTAAATGTTGAGCAGCTGTTCCATTTTTGGGTGAAATATCCCTTTAAAAGTCATATGATGTGTACTTTAACTTAATTATAATACAATAATGCAACTACATAGGTTTAAAACCTTACAATTGGTAGAATTATACTGAAATAATAATAATTATTATGACATTTTTTAGAAAACACAGATGGACAACAAGATGCACAGATCCCTCACCAGAATGAGACACAACTACAAAAAATGAGCAGACAGAACACATTGTTTTGGAACAGCAAAGATGTAATGAAAATGAAGACGAACATCACTCCATACAAAATACAAATGGATTGGATTTAAAGTCAAAAAGCATGGACATTGACTTCATGTCAGTGTCCACATATTCTGAAAATGAAGACAAAATGGAATGTGAAAAGGAACATGAACATAACCGAAATAACGAAGAGTGTAGGGCCACAACACCAGGTCCAAAAAATTTCTGTATAGAAATAAAATTGGAAAGCTGGAAAAAAATAAAGCCACTGCCTGGTTCAAACCAACTCCAGAGACCATGGACAGATGTAATTTATAAAGAATTTAGTCAGGTCAGTCCTTGTTGTGTGTTTTGTTTTAAGTACCAACACGTAAAATGCAAAATCAGTCGGAAACGAGCCCTGCCTTTTTTCAAAGTACGTGCCACCTGCACCTTTAAAGACTGTGCAGCAGTCTATACTTTTACAATAAAACACCCCCCAACAAAATAAAAAAAATCACTGTCTTTGTTGCTCGTAACGGAAACATAACACACAAAAAAAGTCACCAACAATTCAGACAAGCCAAATATACACGAAGGGGGAAAATTGCAAAGGCCCTCACACAAGGTCTGAGTACTTACTATTATGAAGCCTTAAGAAAATCCACACCAGAAGAGATTGTGGCAGGAAACATCTCACAATCCTTGACTAAAGATGTGTTAAGGGTCATTTCTACTGAACTGAAAAAAGCACCAGGCTATATGACGACATAATCCTGGAGCTAATGCTTACACAAAAAAGAATAAAGGAATGTCCTACATCTGATTGTCCTGAGACTGCTGGCTACTTACAACATTTGCAAGTGGACCCATTTGCTGTACATTTGTACACACAATGTGGTTTACAAATTTTAGCCCAGCATCTTAAAAAAAAAAAAACAGTGACACTTCACCTGGGTGCCACAGGTAGCGTAATCTCACGCATTACCAGTCAGTCCAAGAGAGTGCTCTACTATGCTCTTGTACTGCCGGGAATGGGAAAAAACATGCCACCACTTCCAGTGAGTGAGCTCATATCAAATCAGCACTCAATTCCAACCTTGACATACTGGTTAATGGAAACATTAAGGGTCAAATAACATCATGCCAGGTACATCAAGTGGAGACTGACTTCAGCTGGGGACTAATTTAAATTTGCTGTATCTACAAAGAGCCCACCGCATTGTTTTGAACATAGCAAACAGTGGCGATCTTCAATTCAGTCTTACATCTTTGCTCTTCACATATTGTTAAGGCAGTGTGTCAGGCATTTTCAAGAAAGACTGACAACAAAGCTTTAAAAGAGTATGCCACCTACTGCTTTGCCTTGTTGTTAAACAGCACACATCTAGAAGAGGCAACAGCTGTATTCAAAGATATGTATGTGCTCTTCACATCAGAAGAGGGGACAGATGTGGTGAATGCAGCCAAAAACTTCCCTGGACCTAAAAATAATGAAGAGCACAATAAACATAAATGAGGCACAAACGATACCAGAGGCCACAGAAACAGATGAAAATGTAACTTCAGTGTGTGGCAGATCACCATTTACATCACTGTTTACTGCAGTTTTGGACAGGGCCAAGAGCCTCCACCTCAGTAGCAAGACAGGGGAAAAAAAATAACCTTTTCTGTCCAGAGCTCATCGACTTCCTCATGAACAACTACATGAGCATTTTCACCCTCTGGGGTGGAGTTCTTCTTGGGGATCTTAGCCGGTTTTCTGAAACCAGCACAACTACAGTCAGCCAACAATCCAAAACTAGGGAAAGTAACTGTCATGCATATGGAACAGTGGTTTTGGATTGTTAAACAGAGCATCCTTAAAAAAAAAAGCACCTGCGTCCTGCTGACTTCATACAGAAAATGTATGGATCCCTCCAAGGCAGATACAATGAACACATAATTAACCACAATCTGTTACTGCCTTACCGTGATCCAGAACCTAAAGAAAAGTTCTTCAGCCAAAAAGAAGAATGGGCAAAGAAAACATCGAGAAAACAGGACAAACACAGGACAAAATACTTTGACCCACCTGAAGTACTGCCACAGCCATTACAAAGTCCAGAAACTAAACACATCAGCACCAATACCAGCCAGATGATTCCAGACACAGCAATGGACCTGTCAAAAACAAAACACGAACCAAAACCAAAGTACAATACTGAGCCAGATAATACAGAACAAACTGCTGAAGACACAACGGAAGAGGTATTACTTCATATTATTATATTTATAAAAATATTTTCAATGCATTTCACATCTTTCTTACATTAAAAATATTGCTTGCAGATTGAATATCAATGCAAAAATGAGTGTGAAGTGGTGGTTGCTGTTGTACCGTCAGTAGAAAAAAAGGCCATGTACACCCTCCATCACTCAGAGTTCAAAACTCTACAACCTCACAAGTGGCTCATGGGAGAGGCAAGAATATTCATGAGCTATTATCATTTCAAACTGGCATGATTTAAATCGCCAAAGTACACCATAAATATTGTACATATCTGAAACGCTTACAGTTACCTTTATGTCTAATATGCATGTTTCATGTATTTCTTATATAAATGTGCTCTTTTCATCAAGGTAATTGAATGTTACTTCCAAACCTTACTTAATAAAATGGGAAAAGACTGTAGCATTTACCTGCTGAATCATTATTCTGCTGGTGTGATTCTGTCTGGAAACCGAGATGCAGTGTGCAGGCAGAGTCTGCGAAAGGTATTGTATTGTTATACATTGAAGATATGAAAACACGTTTAAAAAGATTTAATAATGTTACAATATCAAACATTTCAGGTGGACTATGGAAAATATCAAGCACTTATCAGTTTCGTAAATGTACATGGAAACCACTGGAAGTTTTTGGTGAAAGCTTTCAAAATATAAGTCCTTCTTCATAGTTATGTGGTCAAAGCTTAACTGTAATTTTAAATCGGTTTCTCTCTTTTGTCTAGTATTTACATGCATCTTCCAGTCAAGTTTACCTTATTGATCCACAAGGAATTGATGAGGAGAAGGACTCTAAGCAAGCTGCAGTCAGATTTAGGTAAAAAAAAAACACTGCTAAAATAAAAGCATTAAGACCATATCTAGTTACTCTTAATTACTTTACTGTATTACCCCTAACTGTCATATATTTATTTGTCATATAAGTCAATACTTCAAAATGAGGTTCATTCGTCATGGCAAAAAAGAGTGGATGGACATTAAGTGGAGAGGGGCCCGGAGTCTGCGCAGTAGAGAACTCGGGACCAGAGTCTGCGCAGTAGCGAGCGAAGCGGCGCCGTGTCCCGCCCACACTCCCGCAGAGTCGATCGCAAGCATACGCCCCTGACCCTGTTTTAATTAGCCTGACTGCTCCAGTTTTTGTCTGCTGAGAGGATTGTGTTAAAATAAGGTAACTACAACTCCAATATCCTCCTAAAGATCCCGAAAAAGTCCGTTGGTGCCTCAGTTCACGCAGAGAAGCTGTCAGTCTCAGCTGTCAATCATGACGTCACACTCCCCTTTTTATAGCATCACTTAACTAACTAAAACCAAAATTATTTAAAAAACGAACACTTGAACTTACATCAGCGTAATAAAATCTACATCAAATTACAAAAGCCATCTTTGGAAAAAAAATATTTGAAGTGAAATTTAAAGGGGTCATATGATGCTGCTAAAAAGAACATTATTTTGTGTATTTGGTGTAATGAAATGTGTTTATGCGGTTTAAAGTAAAAAAAAACATTATTTTCCACATACTGTACATTATTATTTCTCCTCTATGCCCCGCCTTTTTGAAACGCGTCGATTTTTACAAAGCTCATCGGTCTGAAAAAGCGAGGTGTGCTGTGATTGGCCAGCTATCCAATGCGTTGTGATTGGCCGAATACCTCAAGCGTGAGACAGAAATGTTACGCCCCTCACATAGAGTGAGCTGAGGCGGCGGGGTCGAGAACGGCGCGCCCAGCGGATCTGACGAATGAGCGGCAACCACATGTGACAACCCCGGGCTGGACTTCGCTTCGTCCACGGTGAAAGTTGATGTATTCCCTCAGCGACCAGCACAGATCAGCTCTAGGCATGACGAAGCGGATATCGTCCTCTTTTGGAAGACCAAACAAAGTAGTTTCGCTTTCACAACGAAGCACACAGCGTCTTCATGACATGGCTGCAGCGTCAAAACTACAGTGAGAATAAAGTTACGCCTTCTTTCGTTGCGTGAACATTTGGTTGGCGTTATGCAAATCTTCCCACATAGTGAGGTAGATATGTGGGGGCGTGTTAGAACGAGCCGTTTTAGGTAGGCGCGGCTGACTCTTAACTTTTATAAAGAATCTCTCTTTGGATTTGAGACTTTAGTCTTTGCAACTTTACAGATCTTCTTTATGCACCAAGAGCTTGTAACACTCCAAAGAGAAAGGAAAAAATGAAATCGCATCATATGACCCCTTTAAAAATATATGCAAAAAGTAAACTTGGAAATAGTCCGTAAATGAGCACATATTGACTAGGTTAAAGGAACAGTTCATAAAAGAAAGAAAATTTTCTGGAAACGTAGGCTACTTACCTGCTGGCCATCCAAGATGCAGATGAGTTTTAAAATTTGGAGAAATTTAGCATTACATCACTTGCTAACCAAGTGGATCCTCTGCAGTGAATGCCCATTAGATTGCATGGAGAGGGTGGGGTTTATGACCTATACTGGGACCAGCCACCTGGGGGCGATCGAAACGCAATGGCTTCACTTTTTAAGACTCGTGCGGCACACTTGGTTGCAACACATCGAGGCAGATTAAAACAAATAAACTGCGATCTGTGTTCAGTTACGTTCTGCTACTTTCCGAATAAGTCAGTTTTATAGTTATACGCAACCATTAAGAATGTATTTAATTTTTTTTGCGGCTGAATATCTGTCTAACATCGAACATCCAACGTCAAACCAACTTTATATCGGTGAATTAATCTTGTCCTATAATTTATCTATGACTGCATTCTGATATCGGAATGTGAATGTAAATCGGAATGTAAATTTAACGCTGCTGAGCCCAATTCAAAGATCCTATCTTGTAATATTTAATGTACATAATCGATATTATAACCACCAGTAATATTCAATATTTCCATTTAGTCATTTAGCAGATGATATATCAGCCACCTCTAGAAATAATGCTTTTTTTTTTTTTTTTTTGCATTTGAAGAGCGAGATGTTCCGTTACTGCTTGTGTTTGTAATGTGTAATATTTTTCTACTTATCTGGAGTTATTCATTCAATTTGCAGGATCAGTACAGTTTTGTTACTGGAGATAAGTTACAGTGTGGTAACACAGACCAGTACTGAAGAGGTGATGTTAGAAGTTTTTAATGAATTGCTGCCCAGTCAGCTCACCCTGATCACACATTTAGTTCCATTAAAGGTGCTGTATGTAAGTTTTTGCCTCTACTAAAGCATAAAAATACCATAATATGTTTGCAGATATTTAAGAAACATGCTAAGTTAACGTACTTGTTTATCTGAAAAACAATGCTACAGTCAGTTATTCTCCTTTGAAAATGTGCGTTCTGGGCCGGAATGTGGGTCTCTGTTTTGGTTTGTGAAACCCGCCCACTGCCAGTTTACCCAATTGTATTTCGGGACCCCGGGTTGCCAGTTGGCGGAAAACACAGCGTATTTCATTTGATTCAATCGTCAAGTGCGCTTGTTCCTGTTGGTGTCGTCAATCTGGCAACCTGTGTGTGCGTCAAGTCTGAGGAGGAGGGGCCGGTGAAAAAACCCACTCCAATATTTTGAATTTGGACTGCAATGCCTAGTTCAACCACTCGGTGTCAATCCTACATACAGCACCTTTAAGCAATTATACTTATGTTTTTTGCCAAATGGACAATAAAGAGGGATAAAAAGAATCCCACAGACTTACATTAAAGGAGGGACTTGAATCATATCTAGCAACCACATAAAACATCCACCTAAAACATCGAAATGTCTGCTTCAAGCTCCTATTCATTATCCATTTAAACACTTGCAACCCATTTTTCTTTGAAAGTATTAAGACCTTTTAGCATTCAGAGGTTTATGAGTGACTCTAGAAAGACATAAATGAAACAGCAACACACTAATTCACCTTCTCTGTCTCTCTCTCTCAGTGGCAGCCAATCAGTGCGTTAAGGGTCAGTCTGGGCAGGAAATCAATTAATGACGAATGATCTGAAATAATGATGGAACACTGTGTTGCCAGGGTCTGGAGAAATGTCAGCGCATTGTTTTACTGTGTAATTAGAGCCTTAATGAGACAGTTGACAGTTAATGAGAGCCTTAACGAACAACATACGAGGACAGACAGAGAGACTGACACACCATGGGGTAAATATTTCTGTTTTATAATCACCTAAAAATGCAGCAACAGAAAAATTACAGAATTCCAAATGGTTGCATTTGTGATAAAAAATGCTGCCATTAGTAGAAGAAAGGAGCTGTGATGTAGCAGTAAGGGAGAGTTACGTACTTTTCTGGGGTTTCCTGTACAATGACATAACTCACTGAATGGAAGATATACTGTAGATTGTACTGCATGTTAGCTTGCTTATTGTGCCGAAGAGCATTATTTCAGTCAATATGTCTTACAACCAAGTAACTATGCGTCTAACCACAGGTCAAGAGCTGTAGTTCCAACCACGGAAGTTTGCGATGCTGTTCGTTTGAACTGTGGTTTTGGGAAACACAGAATCGTTGAACTATGTTGGTAACGACAGAACTTGCAACCATAGTTGGCTAATGATGCTTTTAGGAAACACACCCTTGATTAGCTCTATACTCTAACTAAAGCAGAATTGTTCAAATAAAGCATTTAAAGTGTTAAATTAGCATCTTAAAGGGTTAGTTCACTTTTTAAACCGTTCGTTTTGTTTACAAAGCTTCGGTACATAACTACACTTACATCTGTTTTACGAATGTACTGCAAATGCTCTAAAGAACGCTGAAGGCGAACAGAAATTAGATATACAGCTCTCTGCTTGCAGCGCGTCAGTCACGCTCGTCAGGAAAGTGAGTGAAACACACATTTTTGGGTCATTCTACAGAAACGTCCACGTTTGGTATGGCAAGATGTCTTAAAATGTATTTATTTTTTTAACATTTAAACTTAGACCACACTATTAGATTACCTTTTGACTTTATGAATACACATAAATGACAGATTAATGATTTTTTATATTTTTTTGTATATTTATTTAAAGATCGCATATACCCGTTTTTTGTCACTGGTGTTACCTTACTTCTTTGGCAATTTTAAAGGTTTTTATTAAATATTATTATTTTTCAGCGAACCGTACCAGAGTTCACTTGAACGTACCCCAGACCACCCTTTTTAAGCGGACTCGGTACGGTTCGCGGGTGCGCACCCGAGTTCGGAAGACAGCGTTCACATCATCCAAATGAACCAAACTCTGACGTCAGTCGAACCCGGGTGCGCACCAAAAGTGCCAGTGTGAAAGCGCCCTTAATGTACTGCAAGTACTGCAGAGGACAGAAACAAGCGGGCAACTCGGAACCCGGATGCGCACCAAAAGTGCTAGTGTGAAAGCACCCTAAGTCACTATCCCTATAGATTTTAACTGCTTTGAATCTTTTACATTTGCAAGTAATATATTCCCACCTTTGCAAGGCAAGCTGAGAAGAAAAAAAATTGAAGGTACCTTTCTTCATTTTCATGGATTTTGGGATATTTTTCAATTTTTTGGTAAAGTTATGTTTTATTCCCTGTAAAGTAGGAATAAAAAATGTTAGTAAAAATGTTAACTATTTTTAAAGCCTAGTGTCAGTGAAGATGGTGTGGTCAGGAATTATGGTGTTTGTAGGAAATCTGAAGGAACATCTCCCAGCATACTACTACGATGTTGCCCTGATGACTGAGGTAATTCACCTCTTAGGTGATGCAGATATGGTCAAAAGTTTACATACACCTTGCAGAATAAACTGCTTCATCATAGCAGAAATTGCAATTTTTTAGTGATTCTACCTCTCTACCCTCTTACTGCTTAAATTATTAACATTTTGCAGATACTGCAAGGTGTATATGAACTTTGGACTGCAACTACAGGTGCATCTCAATAAATTAGAATGTCATGGAAAGGTTAATTTATTTCAGTAATTCAACTCAAATTGTGAAACTCGTGTATTAAAT